CTCTAATGTCTAAAACTATAAAAAAAACCTAAGTGTCAATTAAGATATCCAAAAAGACAGATAAAAACTTGGAAAAAAAAGAGAGGGATGCCAGCACAAAATAATTATAGCATATGTAGGTAATCAAACTATCAGTGACAACCAAATTTAGGATTAAAGGGAATGGATACAGGAAAAGGGAAAGATATCCCACCACCACAAAACTCRAGTTTAAATGTATATTGAGAATCTGTTATACTGACTTATTGACACATCAATTACTCCATCTGTCAGTACACAACATGAAGGGGTTATTTCCAGCATTTCTGTAACACCCCTCTTAGATGACTTACTGCTTTTCCAAAGCTGGAACATCACTGCTCATGTAAAMTCAAACTGAAGATTTTACAGTATGTGGAGGACTTAGAGGATCTGTCTCTTCTACCCAGCCACCTACCATGATGAAGTTCATAGAAATTATTTTCAGAAATGAAAACTAATATCAAACACATAGAAGCTGGCTAAGAAATTTAAAAGTTAYTGAGGAAAGCAGCTGTGGGGACACCATGTGATGATACAAACCTGGCATCCAGCACAACTCCAGCTAAAAATACAAGTCAGAAGATTTCAGGAGAACAAAAAATTCCATAACAAAAAGTCATGATAGCAATTGCCAAGAAAACAGGATTGTAAAAGCTGGCACAGAAAAAGAGATTACTGAACCTTATCTTTGAGGAGGTCAGTAACTTCAAAGTTTTAATGTYAAGCATTAAAACAGGTTAGAAAGGAAATTCCAGCTTCTAATTTCATTATGAGTTTTCTTCAGCACAAAGCAGTCTTTGAAATCAAGCTTTCAAAACTGTAAAGGAAGATTCTCCTGACAAAATAAAAGATGTGAACTACATTCAATTGTACTTTCACTCGTGCCTTTTAAATAATTGATAAAGAATAAACGAAGATTTGGAAGCCAAATGCCAATTTTWTTATCTTTGTGTGGAAGCTCCTACAGGGTTTGGTTTTTTTATTTCTAATGAAAACCAAATCAGGGTTATCAATGTACATCTTATAAATTCACATCTCTATTGTTTACATTAATCTGCTACTCAATCTAGATATTGTCCTGATATTACCTAATAATCCAGACTGGTACAGAACAACTATACTAGACAGTATCATCCATCTGCTGACACTTAGTCCAGCTTAAAAGACATTTTGTTTTCAACAAGAAACAGGAAATYTTTGACCATCTACAAACAAAATACAGCTTAGCCAGCATGTGCCCTGGTTCCTAATTAAGCCTCTTTTACAATTCAGCTTGTGAATATAACTACGTTGAAAGAAATTTTAAAAAATATCTAAGTTTGAAAAGGACAGTCAAATACACCCGCAACAACAGAAAAAAATATTAAGTAAAAAAATGTTATTAAGATCATTTAAATGTTATTAATAACATTAATAAATGTTATTAGTTTATTCACTAAAGAATATTGCAATGCAACTCAAAAACTCTCTGGCGCAGACATCCAAAAGCAAAATTAATAAATTAGCAACACAACATAATTCACCAGTTAGAACACTAAGAAGTAGCACTTTTTTAAAATCCTTTTCGAATTACATTTTTGCCTGCATCTCTAGCAGCATCACTTTTGTGTACCACACAAAGCTGCACTCCAGCGAGCTCAATGTCCTGAAAAGTTTAAAAATTGCCTGCCACGGCTGTTCTTGTTTTTGTGCAAAGAAATTGTGCCCATCCAGAAGGCAAAAAAAACACCTGTGGCGCTCAAGTCAGATCTTTTTGTCAAACTTCACGTTCGTCTGTGGATGTGCAACAAATTGTATCCGCTGCTGTCGCTGATGGAAAACATGGAATTAAACATTTAGCTTTGTCACGTACCTATGTCAATGCCTCGTCTCAGGGTTTGCTTCTCAGCATCCTGGTGCCCGATGAGATCTTCCACCCAGTGGATGTAGTTCAGCCTCAAGGGGACGGTAGGAATCAGCCTTTCCACGGGGATGTCGATGGTCAGCCCGAAATCCTCCTTCAGSAGGGTGCACGTCAGAGCCCTCACCGCCTCGGGATCCTTGAAATTCAGGCTGAAAGGGACAAGCAGAGCTTTTACAGGCGCCCAAGGGGGGAAACACAGGGGCAAGTGATCTAAAAATGATCTGAGCAAGACTCTGCAACTTATATAATTTTAGGTTGTGAAGTAGGTATGTTTATTGCAGCGCTGGGTGAGCGGGAGGTACCCCTGAAAGCCGCACACACCGCAGCACAGGTATTGCTTGGTATATATCAGGTTACATGTTACACATTCACTGAGTTTTGCAATTTGCCTATATATATTCATGACTTATCTTTGCTTTGTATTATAATGAGTTTAAAYAAGCAGTTTCTAACAAGTTACCCTGTAACTTCTAACTTCCCTGCATCACACCCACCCAGCGCATCTGCCCCGGCCGTACCTCACCCTGCCCGTGAGGGTGGTCTGCACGTGCTGCTGGAACTCGGGGTATTTGCCGGCCAGGTAGGCGAAGTCGGGCGGCTTGTCCTTGTAGCGGTTGCGGGCGTGCATGGATTTGTTGAGGGCCATGGCGGGCGGGGATGTGGCGGGATGTGCTGGGATGTGCCGGGAGCGGTATCGGGATCACACCCGCACCCCGGGCCCGCTCCCGCTGCCGTTTCCTCACCCGTTCCCTCACCCGCTGCCGCTGCCGCTCCCGGCGCGCACCGCGGCCCGCGGGCCGTACCAACGAGCGGCGGCCGGCGGGGGGGAACGGCCGGGCGCCGCCGTGAGGGAGGGAGGTGCCGCCGTGACGGAGGTGCCGCTGCTGAGGGGGAGAAGCGACTGCTGTGTTCTCATAGAATCGTGGAATGTCGAAATGATCTTAAAGATTATCTTTAGGATCCCTTGCAGGGGTTCCTCCCGCTGGACCAGGTTGCTCAAAGGCCTGGCCTTGAACGTTGCCGGGGTTGCAGCATCCACAGCATCCATTCTCCCTGGGCAGCCTGTGCCAGTGCCCTCACAGTAAAGAATTCCTTCCTAATGTCAATCTAAAATCTTCCTTCTGTCAATTTACTTCTTGTCAGATCACTACAGAGACCAAAAGTCCCATCCACAGCATCCAGTCTCCCTGGGCAGCCCGTGCCAGTGCCCTCACAGCAAAGAATTCTTTCCTAATATCAATCCAAAATCGTCCCTCTGTCGATTTACTTCTTGTCCGATCACTACAGAGACCAAGAGTGCCATCCACAGCATCCAGTCTCTCTGGGCAGCCTGTGCCAGAGCCCTCACAGTAAAGAATTCCTTACTAATATCAATCCAAAATCTTCCCTCTGTCAATTTACTTCTTGTCCCATCACTACAGAGACCAAAAGTCCCATCCACAGCATCCAGTCTCCCTAGGCAGCCTGTGCCAGCGTCCTCACAGTAAAGAATTCCTTCCTAATATCAATCCAAAATCTTCCCTCTGTCAATTTAGTTTTTGTCCGATCACGACAGAGACCAAAAGTCCCTCTCCAGTTTCCCAGGAGCCCCCTTCAGGTACTGGCAGCTTGCTGGGAGCTCTCCACAGAACCTTCTCCAGGATGGACAGACTCAATTTCCTCAGTCTGTCTTCGTACCTTCAGTCCTTTTACCAACCTTGTGGCATCCTCTGACTGCTCCCACTGTTCCAGATCCTTGTGCTGGAGGACCAGAGCTGGATGCAGTACAGTTCTAATTTAAATCTTCTATATACAGGCATCATCGCTTCAGCATTTGGTACTCCATGAGGAATAAAGACAAATTAATGAAATTATGTAAAGTTGCATTTTTCTGGTGGCTGCTCTGTCCAGGCTCAAAAGCACAGCATGAGGAGCCTCCCACCCCAATCTTCACATACATTACCCATTCAAGTCACTTTTGTTACCCTGAAAGGGTCTTCAGCATTCTCTAAAACACCTCACAGCCATGGTTTTCTGTAAAATTCCTGCATGAAGCCTGCTGGAAACCAAGCAATGGYCTGAGGCCTGCTCATTGTGGCTTACCTTGTGCCATAAGTTTTGAAATAATTGGATTTTAAATGACATATTACACAGTCTGAGCTGGGGAGAAAAAAAACCCAAGGCTTAGATATCATACTTGGAGAAGAATTCTGAGAATTTTCCCRCTTCAAGCACTTTCAGTCTACAGCACATACTTCTAATAATCATCATACTGATCATACTGTTGTGCTTGTTGAACAGAAATTATGAAAGAAAAAGTGTATTACAGTGAGCTTTGTGCTGTCTCTGATTAAAAAACCCAACAAAATCMTCCTCAATTGAAATAGGATGAGGGCATAACAAAACAAAGCCTCAAACTGGGAATTAAAACTTACTTCAGTTCCTGGCTTTGTCACTGACTGTCAGGAACTTCAAAGTTTCAAGTAGGAAACTTTCAAGTGGAGCAGGAATAGTCCTTACTGCTTTAACATGGTGCTTTGGTTCCTCAGACAAAATATGTAAGATTGACATCAAAGTATAACCTATTATTATTTTATTTAAAGGCATTTTCCTGTTTAAAAAGTCAGATACTAATCCAAATGATTCATTGTATATTGTTTAAAAATTCACTCTAAATGTRCTGGCATCCCCTTTGATTCTTGAGTATCTGAAAAGACCTGCAACTGGATTTAACTTCAATCCTACTTCCTGCCCTCAGCTAGCTTCTTCTGACTTGAGGTCACTAAGTTTACATATCAAAGTACCTAAAATGTAGGTTTGGGRTTTTTTTTTAAATACATGAGACCACCAAGCCACCCACTTTTGCCACTTCTGRAGTTATTCCCCTTCCTTTGCCCCCATCCACAGTCACAGAAAAGAAGCTGATAYGAGCAAAACCAGAACAGAGGTAAAAATACTCACTTTAATTCAGAACATTTAGTGTATTTACAATAGAAAGTTTCTCTCTGGTCAAGGGATTAGAGACTAAAAATAAATCCACGTTACAAATGTGTGAACAACCTGCACCTGGTGCAGGCTAACTGATTTTTTTTCTACATYTGGTTCACCCAGGGTAATTACAGTGAAAAAGTGATGATGAGAGCCTGGAGATGGTATTGGATGGCTCCCACCCCCAAGTAGCAATCACAGAATTCACTGCAGGAAGTAGTGTGAAGTTACTCAACAGTTGCTAAAATACCTCTACAGACACATACACAGTCCCATTTGCAGTTAAGATTCATCGAATCATCCAAAGGTAGATAAGCAGGTAGACACAAGCCTACCAACCTGTGTGCAAGCACAGATTTGCAGAGGGGCTCACACTGCCAGCTGCATGGCTCCCACCTCAGTCAGGCACATGCACACATTCCTTCCCACCCCGCACTTGGACAAACACACAGGCAGGTGTTTTGTTAATGCTAACTTACTTGGTTTCTAGATATAGAAAAAAAACAAAACTTCAGAAAAAAAGCACCAACCATCTCATCTGACTCACTGGCTTGGAATCCTTACTCCTCTGGAACTGGAGGGGATAATGTCCTCCTGTTTCTCACAGAGGGAGCCACCACTTCTGAATCTCCAGGAGTTATTTTGCCCCAGCAATACCTACTGGTTGAGACCGAGAGGGGGCAATCCTCTCCTGCTCCCAGAAACAGGCACATCCTCTCACCACTTCCTCTGAGTCAGATTTAGCAATCAAAAGGCTGCAATATGAGCCACTTCAACTGGTTGATCTCACAGAAAAATAGATCTGCAAGAAGTAAGTGAGTACTTTAACATCTGAACAGACAGCTTAGCCAAATCACCCTACAAGTTCACCCACCACATGATGTGCGGAGCACCTGCTTCAGCAACAACTTGTCCACAAAAGCTGATCTATCATTAAGTCACTCAGAGCTCCTGTTTGCATCTTGGTCAGAGTCCACACACCACTTCCTTTATGAGGTGCTTTCCCTCCTTAGGAAAGGAGGTGTTGCAGATGTCTGAGGTKGCTTAAAGGTGCTGAACTATACGGTGGTTGAGAAGCAAACCTCAGCCTTCCTCCAGCATAATCTGTTGCTGTCTCCAACAAACCCAGCTGATGAGTGTTAGAAAGATGGAGAGATATGGGGAAAGGAAGAGAGTTATGATCCTCTCTYAACAGTCAAAGGCAGCTAAAGCAGAAATAGATTAAAGGTGGTTGTGGAGGCTGCAAGGCTGAGGAGAGTTCTGGTTTAACAAAGCCTCTTGAATAGCRTCGCTGCAGCCACTGAGCTCCATCTGGTTGAGAACACTGCTSATGTGCTCCACAGTAGCAGCACGGCCCATCTGCAGTTTCCACAGTCTGAGCATTTCGTACTGGGCGTCTTGCARGCGCCGGTGCTCCAGCTCGATCCGCTCCAGGTCGTGGTCGCTCAGGCCCAGGCGCCGCACGAACTCTTTCCAGCGAGACGGAGGTACCTGGTGCACCACGGTGTAGAGAATGGCAGGGCCTGTGGAGAGAGGCAAAACTGTGAGAACCAACATTCTGTGGCCTCAGGGTGAATGTGAATAATCCAGGGCTGGAGGGTGCCTTTGGAGCTTGCATGTGCCCTTCTTGCTCAGGTCTTGTCCAGTTTTCCAGAGTAATCACACAGGCTCATGTGATGTCTGTACTCATTCTTATCCATCAAACTGTAAAGGGAATGTTTCCATATGCTCTTGTATAAGGTTATGAGCAGAGTCAAGCACATATGCTTATGGCCTTGCTGCYATACATTGTTGAAAAAGAATGAATTATTGAAATGATTCTGGGTCACTGCCCCAGGGGCATTAAGACTGACAACATGTCAACACATATGACAATCAATTTTGCTGGTAGAGAAAAGGGACAACAGAAAGGTCTTGCATGGATATTTGGCATATACAGCCTCACAGGCTCTGAGCATGCTTCTGTCTGTACACACACAGGTCATGTACAGGTCTGTCCAGCATACTCCTGGTTGCATCTGCATGATCAGGTTCTCATTTGAGTGGGGAAGGAGAGAAGGATGGGGGAGTTTCACTTACTGTCAGGAAGCTGTGTCTTCCTGGCAGGTCTGACACAGTCTGGTAACTCATGTGAGCTTTGTGGCGGAGGTGCAGATGGAGCTGCATTCAATGGCAGTTCTGTTTCCTTCTGGGACTCAGGAAGAAGGATGGAAATTTCATTTCTCTTTTGCTCAACCTGAAAGACACATGACATAGCTCAGAATCACCCACAGCAGCACCATATACCTGTCTCCTGCAAGTAACCACCAGCTTTATACTAAAATTTATCCAAGAGAGGTGGGGAGCCTGTGCTGAGGTTTTAATTGCTCCTTTAATTCTTCCTACATGCCTTGTTTCAGCAGAAGACACCAAGCAATTCTTCCTAGCAGAACCCAACGAGTTTAACTTTCTTTTGGCACCATAAAACATTATTCTGGAAGAAAATATTTCTTTATAAAATCAAGTAAGGCTGGGACCCAAAATCACCCCCATTCTAAAGCTCCACTTGCCACCTTTCTCTGTAAGGCTGTGCAAACCCCAYCTCAGCTGCTGCCTGGGCCCTCTTATTTGCAGTTACCTTGGACCTGAGAGAACACTGGGAAGCAGCACTAAGAGGCTTGTGAAGTCAAGAACTGAGGTGAAGTAAAATTAATTAAATCCTCCAAGTCTGGGGTACACAGAGAGAAAATTAAGGGATTAAGGACCAGCTATATGAAAAAAAAATCGTATCCAGAAAGAAAAAAGCAAAAGCCAGGAGTTTGAAAAGCATCCTCTAAAAGAGGGGAAGTTAAGTGTTACTAGCTCCACCCTCTACAGGAAAAGATTTCTGAATTAAACAGCCCTATTACTCAGCTCACTTGAAAATAAAAGGCCTGAAAACAGCCCATGGGGAAAAATATTACTCTGGATCCCAGGCTAACATATTTGAAATTGGAAGATAAGCTCTTATACCCATCATCTTGCTCACCTCTGATACTGKCTCCTTGGCTGTCTGTGGTGAAGAAACTTCAAAGAAAGAAAAAAAAAAAAACGAAAGCAGAAATTAACTTTACTTCCTCTCGTCCCAGAGAAAACAGGAAAACAGCTATTCACATTCCTGCCCTCAAAAATGCTTTATAGCAAAACACACGTCCCAGAAATCATCACACACGCACTTCCAGTCACAGAACTGTAACAATAGCCTTGGCTRTTTAGTTCTTGTGTTACTCTGGCTTAGCAGCAAAATAGTAACAGGATCCCAATTTTTCCCTCACATGTGCACACACACACAAAAACACAGAGAATGGAGTTCATCCCAATCAATATCATCACACATGCTGCTGTACTCACCACAGGGGTAGAAAGACGACACTAGGTTGTTTTTCTGGACCAGCTTTCCTATTTTATGTGCAATGAAGAGGATAGAGGTGACTCCAAATATTGCAACAAAGATGCCAAGTACAAGATTTCCATCTGGACAAAAGGAAGAGAGCAAATGTGTGAGTGATTAAGAAAGGAGGAGGTAAGTGCTAGAGGAAGAACAGCAAGTGAAGAAGTGCAAATGGTAGGGAGAAAAAGGATAATGGTTTGACAAAGTGGTAAATATAACCCTTTACAAAAGGTATTAACAGAACAACAGCCCACACTGAAAAGATTCCACTGCTCCTCAGTCCCCTGAGTACTCACTCAGCCCAGATGAAGTTGGTGAGGCAGTCACTGGGCTGTGACAGTGCAAGCATTCTTCTCCAGTGCAGCTGAAAGAGAAATCAGAGAGGTGAGCACACAAGAAACACTCACCACTTGCAACCATCAGTAATTAACAGAAAAGTCAAAATGAGCCTGCAATACAGTGTGACTAGTGACCTTGGGCTCTTAGTGGCCTGATGCCTACATGGAGGAGACTGGGGGGAGCAGAAGGGAAGACCTAATTGCCCCAGAAAGGCAACTAGAATGTTGTAAAGTTATATCTAGATAGAAAGAGTCATGAGAAAAAAATTCCTCCCCCTGTGGAGCTCCTGCTGTGTCTCCTACTCAGTGGTGGGGCATACAGAGTAAAAAAGCTCACCTGTTGCAAGGCTTGCAAATATTRTTACGTGACAGGAAGAATGGAGGCTTACACCTGCAAACTGCATCTTTGTTCTTTGAACCTTCAGGAAAAAAAAAATACCTGTTGTCATAATCTGGACAGAGAAGAAAACAAAAGGAAAAAAATCCACTCCAAGATGGATGAAAYATTACCCCTCTTTAAGCCTGGAAAACTGTTACTGAAGAAGGGGAAAAGGATTTGGTCTACATTTAAAAACAGAGTTGAGGGAGGATAAAAGTGATAAAAATAAGAGTGCCCACTGTAGATGGGCATCTCTGTAGAGGCTTGGAAAGGGACAAAAATTACAGTGCAGCTGAAATCAGTCTGATGTGCAAAAAGCAGGAAAAGTCACTCAAGTTCAAGCATGACAGGAAGGGGAAACCACATTAGTCAGGCCAAGATGAGGGAGAAGTGGTCCTCGAGCAGCTGRGACTGGTGAGGAAGTCAGTTTTGGGCAGGGAGAAATTACTTCAAGCCATGGGACACATAACCACTCTTCTGATGCTGTGAGTGGAAGGGTAAGAAATGAAAGAGCTGTTGCTCCTAAGCAAGTCACAGAACAGAGCCTGAGTAAAACAGGGTGGGAAGGAGCAGGCAAGACCAGTGATGGAAGGACATCAAGTTGYATGAAAGGAGGGGAAAAGGTGCTAGAACAAGGAGCATGCATTGTGTGGTGAGCGAGGGACAGGAGTAAAACAGTTCTACATCAGCCAAGAGGAGAGGAAACTGCTCAAGGGCAGCATGCAGTGATGACCTTTGAGGAGAGGTGTAAGTGTGGAAACTGTGACAACATTACTGAGCACCAGAGGGAACACATTCACCACTGAAACAGCAAACTAGGCAGGGTAAGAAATGGGAAAGGAATCAGGAGCAGCATAGTTTGCAAAGAAGAGAAGATAGCATTAAGACAAAGAGGGGACATATAAAGAAGACATCTAAGGGACGTGGAAAGAATTAGACTACAGACAGCAGTGTTTGTTTAACACCTCTGATTCCTGACTGGAGATGAAGCAACTTGGGACAGCTGACTCTGGTACTCCCCCAGACCGTGGTATCATCCCAAGGAAATACCCAGTGCCACCCGGTATAGCTCAGCATTACCTGAGCAGCTCTTTTAAACACTGCACAGAGCACTGTGGTGGTTCAGCAGCTGACTGACAGGCAGTTCAGCTGAGCACTGGCACCAGAGGTGTTTTCATGCATTGTACCTGAAGTGCTTCCAGCAGCTGGTAAGGGAAATGCAGTGAGTGTCAGAAGAAAGAAAAGGAAGGCAAGGGGAAACCTGCTGTAGAGAATAAAGACCTTGCTTCAGCACAGGCAAGGCAAAGGCACCAAAATTAAACAGAAAGTAGCTCCTCACAACAGCCAAAACCAAGAAACCATTCAAGGACAAAAGAAAAGAAACTGTAATAGGAAACAGGGACTGATACCAGAGCAGGCAAAAAATGTCAGGGAAAGGGAGCAGACAAACCCAAGAGCTGTTCCAAAACCACAATCCTTTTAGTGCAAGGCACTGCAGCATATCAGAAAGTGTACCCTACTACATTGTGTCCACACTGGAGCCAYATCCATGCCATACTCACAGCTGGTAATGATCCCATTGGCACATGAGCTGCAGTTCCTACACTGGAAGAATTCAGACTCAGAATTAAYCTGATACTGATTCTTCTGACAGCCACATACAGTATCTTGCTGTGGGGTGCAGGGGCTCTCTACTATCTGCTGGAGTTCTGAGGAAAGAAAGGAGAAATAATAACTCCAACCTCTTCCTTCACCTTCAACTGAGCACTATKACAATGATAGGTATGATTATCCCATAACTTTCACAGAAAAAAAGCCAGAAAAGCCTGCAAACTGTATCTCAGACTGTACTGATTTGGTGGCACTTATTCCTGCTGTCCCCAGTCTGTAGTACCCATTCCATTGCTTGCTTTTCCAAGCTCCCTCACTCACCCTGTCACCTCCCATCCTCCATGCACCACCAATTCTCCTCAGACCCTGCAGAGCTGATGGTAACTCACCTGTACGACAGCGTGTGCACCGGAAACATTTTGACATGGTGTTATCAACAGCTGTGAAGGTGCCAGCAGCACATGGGAGACAAAGAGTTGCCTGGTCAGGCCGTTCACAGTCTTTTGCCTTGAAGGTACCTGCAAGAAAATCACTTAACATAGCTCTGMCAGGAAGGCAAATGTGTTGTCTCAGGAAGGATGGGGCTCCTCAAAGAAACCCTGGAGCTGATGGTGTAAAGGCCAAGTACCTCTCACCAGTGGGAATGACACTGACAGCCCAAAAAAAAAGAAAAATAATAAGAATTTAGCTGGATAGGGATAGGTACCAAGGAAAGGGAGAGCTGATTAACTGGAGGAAAGAGACAGYTTGGGAAATGCCTCCAGGGTGAAAGTCACTACTACTGTATTTTGTGTACCTGCATGACACCTCATGCAGCAGTGGGTCTCTCTGGGGTGTAGGTATTGTCCCAGTTGACACTGAATCTGTCTCTTTTCTCTCCTCATGGGATTAGAGGGGTCTCTTCCATCCAAAGCTACCCGATAGTCTTGCAGTGTATATGGCACTGGAGTAATTTCTACAGATTCTTTTGTCAACACGCAGACAAATATTAGAATAACCTGTAAATAGAGAGAGAGAGAGAAACAAGGTCAGAAAACATTATATCCCCCTACAGACTGCACTTCTGACTTCATGTCCTGGTTTTATTTGGTCCAGTTTTTTGGTGGTGGGGGGATGGGACCAAGAAACCACAAACATGGCCCCCATGAGAAAGCTTCCAGAACTTTCTCCTTCTCCAGAAAAAAGGAGCCTTGCCCCTGTGTTTTAGAGCCAATCCATTATGGCTCTGAGGTTGATGGACAGGCTGCTGGTCAGGCCTGGGCCAATTGCACAGGYTGGTTACTCCTTTGTGATGACAAATGGTCTTGTACTTAAGAAGAATTCAAAACAAGATAGAGTGCAGCTGCCATTTAGTTTTTAGGTTGTTAGTATTTAGTTTTAGTATCATGCCCTGGGGAAAAACAGAGCAGGAGGGTGAGGAGATGTAAGAAAAAAAAATGGAGACCCAAGATCACAGTAAGGAGAAGACAAGTGCTGTTGCTGTGGTGCTCGAACGTGAAGAAAACAAGCTGTTCTTGAAAGGACTATTTCTTCAGTAGGAGACCTGTATAGAAAAGAGAGATCCTGCACCCGAGATAAAAAAAAAAAACTGGCMTTTGGGAACTGGACTGATCATCAGCCAAAAAGGGGGAAGAAGTGGCTCCCCCATATCTGAAGTGAGTTGATGTTTAGCAGAAGCTGTGTTCTGCCAGGAGATTTGAGAGAGTGGCCTTGCTAAAACTCTCAWACCCTGCCCCCTTGTGCACGGGAAGGCATGGAGGGGTGGGGAGGGATGACCTGGGAGAGACAGTTTCCCAGAAAGTATAACAGGTGTCTTAAAATGTCCAGGTTTTTTTTTCTTCTCCTCGTAAATTTTTCCCTATCTCTGTTCCCCTCCCCAGTGCGGTAGTATTCTTAGTAGTTTTTAGTAATGAATCTATTTTGCAACTTAAGTTTTTTGATCCTGTCTGACCATTTCTGRAGCATATATGTATCTTTCTCTTAATTATGTTATCTTATCTAAAAGCCATAAATTTTAGTGTTAATTGGGCTTCTGCTCTCCCCTCTGCCTCTGCAGTGGTGGTGGGGGGGCAGGGAATGTTGTGAGTGCTTTGGCTTTTGGCCAAGYTCAAACCAYGACATTTTTGGTGCATTGGCCAGGAAAAATGGAACTTAAACCCCAACACTTCAGCACTTAGAATTAAATCATATCATRGCAATGAGTTCAGTTTACTTGGCTGATTCTGGTATTGGGACCCTTCACTGACAAATGTGTGTGGGGAGATGGTTTACAAAAATAAACTCAAAAAAAACWATGCCTGCCATCTGTGATGTTAATATGCCTTTCAGTGGCCTCTATGGCAAACTGGTTGCATATAAAACAAATATTTTTCATGATGTGAAGTTTACGCATGGAGTGCCTTGAAAATGTGGCTGCTTCYATAAAAGTTACACAAGAGCAAAGAAATGTTTTGACTAAGGAAGGCAGTAAGGCTGTCCATGTAGAAACAGTTCCACAGAGAAGAATGCATCCAGTACTTGCAGTTCCACTGAATAAATACACAAAATGGGAAGTTTGGAATAAGACAGCAGAGGAGGATCTCATTGCCTGCAAAGTACAGGAAACTTTCCCAAACTCCTCCTGAGCAAGCCAGACCTAGAAACGTGGGAAAGTTATTYTCTCCGTGTCAAATGTACATTCTTCCTCTTAAACTGCAGCTGTTAACAATCAGCTTGCACAGTCTGACACAAAAATGCAGTTTCCTTTTTTATTAATTCCTTTAAGATTTGATTTCTATTTTTCCACTTGGAAGTAACTGTTGTCATGCCAATCTTGACAGGAATATTAAGATTGTCATGACTGCCATATGACTGTAAGARAGCGTGACTTTGTACACCCACACACACATGAAAAAGGGATTAAAAGAACAGTCTGTACCAACAATGAAGTATCCCATTCCCTGGACACTGTTTTCAGGGGACTCTTCCCAGCAGTGAAATTGAGAAATATAGTGTTTATGTAATGGCCAAAAGGTCTCCACTCTAGTAAGAACACAGCATAAATGACTCATCAGCAAAAGATCCTGCACCAGAAGGATGGTRATGAGATTGCAGCCTCTCACAAACWCAGCTCCTTTGCCTGYTGCCCTGAAAGAAAAACAGACCCTAGGCATGCATTTCAGACAAGGAAAACRCATACAACAACTAAAAGGTAAAAAAAAAACAAAACAAACAAACAATGAAACAAAACCAAGTAAAAGCTTGGTCCAAGATTCATGAAACCTGAAGTCAGCAAGTTTCTGTAGCAAAGACCTATCCCATACCAACTGATGACTCCTGAAGAATRTGAAAGAAAGATTTWTCCAAAAACTARYTTGTAGTASCGTGGAGAACTCYAGCAGCACAATGGAGACTTTAGAACCTTTGTCATCCTCTTTGCACACAAGTGATCCTGACCACACCATCTGGACATGCATCTCTTCATGCTTCTGAATATGTTACAGATGTGCCAAAGTACCCCATGCATCATGTCATGTGAATGATCAAAACCAACTCATTTTTTTTGCAAATAAATACCACCTGGCCAATATAATCTCACATGAAGTTTTACCATACTACCTTCCCTTTAATTGTAGTGTTTTCCCAACTTGGTTTGTTTTGAAAGATGCTGATACCAATTTTGTGGTTGGAAGCTTCTTAAGAAAAGTTACATAAAATGAGATGGCTATGACAGCCTCACACTGTCCTGTTTCTCTTTCAGAATTAAAGTCTAGGGGGAGAAAGGTRCATACATAAAAGCAAGTGAAAACCTCAAGAATGATGGAGCTTGCAACTGTGATAAAGCTAAAACATCATTTTTCAGAGAGCTCTGTCATACAAGGATGTATTCAATAGATCAGATGCTWAAATGGTGAACAGGAAAAAAGAGAACCACATATTTGAATAACTATAGTTTCAGTCTTAATTAGTTGACCACAGGATAATTGTAAGCGYTCCAACAACTTCTCAATGAAACCAAAAATTGCTTCAGCAGCTTACCAGATTTATCACTTGCAGGAAAACAAGTAAAAGATCCTTCACACAGATTGTTCTGACATACAYCAACAATCAAAACATCCTGATTCTCTAGCCAGTGATTAATCTCCTGATATGAGAATATATACAGTCAGCCTGTAAGTCACACAAGTCAGCAAYAGAAAGAAGATGAAAGCATCAAGATTAAGCCAGAAATGCAGAGAAAATTGGTCGGACACACCTTCAAAGCCAAAAGAAAACAAGGGTTTTCAGTTTTGCAGATGAAGAGAAAGCATGTCTGTAAGTGTAATCAAACCAGAGTTGACACATTACTGATGACAATCCAAGGAACAGAGTCACAGGCCACACACCAATGACTGGRCCATCCAGYAAAATYATTCACAAGGTGGAAAAAAMCAAAACCACCACCACCTTAAGCATCTTTCCAAGCCATTCAGCAATACTGATTTATACCAACTTCAAAAAATTCAGGTAATACATCAAATTAGAATGCTCTATTCCATTTCAGTTGGAAGGCACCTMCAATGATTATCTGGTCCAGCTGCCTGCCCACTTCAGGGCTGACCCAAAGTTCCAGGCTGTTGTTAAGAGCATTGTCAAATGCCTCTTAAGCACTGGTGACTTGAGGCATTGAGCACTTCTCTAGGGAGCCTGTTCCAGTGTCTGACCACCTTCTTAGCAMAGAAATACTTCCCAGTGTCCAGTCTGAACCTCCCCTGGTGCAGCTTTGAACTACTGCCACATGTAATGCTGGATCCCAGGGAGAAGGAGCCAGCACCTCCTTCTTCCCCTTCCCCTCCCCATCCCAATGGAGCTACAGAAAGCAAAGATGTCACCCCTCAATCTCCATCTTTCCAAACTACACAAGCCCAGAGTCCTCAGCAGCTGCTCACAGGACATGGATTCTGTGAGGCACAGGGTTTGCCAGCCCTCCCACCAGTTTGGTGCTGTTGAAAAWTTTGTTTTATTTGACATAAGTAGCTAGAATTTTTAGGCTGCAAGTTGACCTCCATCTGAACCATGTGGCTGCGTAGAGTAAGACAAAGCTTAAACGTTATTTAAAAATTAATAGCTAGAGTGAACAGACCTTAACTCGTGGTGTATGAACAGTAACAACCATATTAYAACAGGGACTACAGAACTGACCAAAACCCCCTCTGAAACCAACCTAAGAGGATTTGAAGGTGACCAAATGGCAGCCACTTGGTAGCAAAGCAGTGACCCAATGAAGAATGAGAAGACCCCATACCCTAATAATGCTTTTGGTCCAGGCTGTAGCATGAGGGATAGGAWGTTTAGATCATAAGGGTACAACTGCCCAGGGATTTCTTTGTTGGGGGTTCCTCTTTTAAGGCATCTGGCTTGAGCTCCCRGGTAACATTTGTGCCAATTTGTGCCAATAAATCTGTCTGATGGAGATGAGAGCCTGCTGTTCAAAACTGAACAGTTTCCCTCCTCTGGACACATGGAAGAACTTTCAAGTCCTTAAACTGTGAGGCTCAGAACTGCTGCCAGCACTTCAGGTGAGCTCACACCAACACTGAGCACAGCAGGAATAAATACATTGAACAGAACTGGGAGTAGAATTGAGCCTTCAGGAGCACTGCTGRTGATCAGTCACCAGCCAGATTTAGCTCTGTTTACCATGCAATGAAGCCCCATGTCACTGGTAAGATCTTGCCAAGGCAAAGTTAGAGGCTTTCTGCAAGTGAAATAAGCTGATTTTCYATTGTTAAATATACAACACACCCCTCATGCCAGTATAAATACTAATGCCCTCTAACCAACACTTCACAGGAAAGTGAACAATGTGCATTACTTAAGCCAAGTGATAATTCAAACCACACACATGATGCACACCACTGATTCATGTATTCAGTGAGTAAGGACTACCCAGGAAAAATAGAGTCAGCAGAAATTCTAGGGTTTACTTCTGAAACTATTGCAGGAATACCCAAAATATGGCAGTGCTGCTTCCTTAAAA